GAAAAAAAGTAAATAACTGATTCGTCTTTTACGACAAATTCTCGAAAAATAGGCGGAGAATTCTAAGTAGAATACCTATAATTGATTAAATGTCATAACATGCGCCTCGTATAGTTTTGTAGATCTTCGATGGACGGTTCGAATCAACACCTTATAGTTGAAAACCTTCAAAAAATATCTTGTTTCTATGAAAAGTTATTAAAAAAAAACATCCGCATCTTTTTTTAAAATAGACAATTAAAACTGTACAAGCATAAGTGTATTTATCGTCCTAGAATCAAGATTTCAGACGATACAAGCATTAATGACAGCAAGTTATTGTTAGCCATCGATTTATAAACATGGACTTGTTTTCTTGAGAAGAAATCATCACAGTGACAACTAAAATTTTCATCTACAACACTAATTCGAGGAGAAAATAAATAAAAAAAGAAATAATAAACATAATTTTTCTTTTAGCTTGTCTCCTTCTTTCTCTGTCGCATAAACAACAACCAACAACACAAATAGCACTTGATATGCTTAAACGTTTAACAAAAGCAAATGAAGAAATTGTTGAAATACTTCTTGGAAATAATTTCGTGATAGAAGCACTTCATTTCTGTATAGAACATATACCAATAACACGAGCATTAGCACGTAAACTTTTAGAAGCAGCATTAAAGTCGGATGAACTTTTATCATCAACAACATCAAATCAAAAACTTCTTTTCTTTACTGTTTATACATTTTTTGAAGAATATTTTCAACGTACAACAACCATAAGTGCATTAGCTCAATTACCAAATAATAATGAACAAAAAGATGACCTTGTAATGTTTAAAACATTATTTAATTTACATTTTCGTAATCTAGATACAGATGTTGCTAATATTCAGTGATTAATTTTTGTGTTTGTTTTTTTATTTATTTATTAATTTTCTTGATCATATTTCGTTGATTGATATTTATATTCCTGTTTTTCTTTTCGTCGTTCTCTTTTCAAGATGACACGAAGCGATTTTAAATTGCGCACACTTTTACTTGAAATTGATCGTCATTTAACAAATGTTGATCGTCAAAGACTTTGTTTTCTAATCGGTTGTGAAGATGTTCCACGTCGATTACTCGATATAATTGCTAAGGATGGTTCAGCACCCATGACTGATATATGGGAAGCATTATTCGATCGACGAAAAATTACTATTAATAATGTAAATTATCTTATTGAACGTCTCGGAAAAATCGAACGTTTGGATTTGGCTGAATTACTTAAAAATTATTGTCCACTGCCATTTTCACTGTCAGCGACACCTTCAACAGAAACAAGAAGTCAAACTACACAACGTACAACTATGTCGGAACTTTTTAATTATCATGACCCATAGAATTCTCCTTAAAAATGTATTCTTCTCTCAACAGCTTTTATTTTATTTTATCTCAAAGCAACAAGTTTTACTTGCTATTTCACTTTAATAATGCTTTATTTTGAATACTTTTTAGCAGATTAGAAAACGTCTATCTTTCATTTGTTGCAAAGACAGAAAATTCTTGAATTCATATTCTTATGATGCGAATAATTATTTATGGTCGTAATTTCGAAGATACGAAAATATTCTTATAATATAAGGAAAAGATGAATTGCAATGATTGTAATCAAATTGTACTTCTCGACAACATGAATACATGATAATTCAATTGCCATTAAATACATCTTGAAGATATATTTGAAAAAAATATACATACTATTAATTGGTTAAAAACAACAGTATGCACCATTTTTCTTTTAATATTACGATGTGAGTCGAATCGTATTTTGATTAATTTATTATGTCTTTACATTTGAAAAGTGTGAAAAAAAAGCAATCCAGATTATTGCGTCATCAAAAACCGTCACTCTTCTTTAGTATGAACGCGAGAATAAGCAAAACGAACAGCAACAATTTCAAAAGAAGTATAATATCTACCAGTAGAAGAAAACAAAAAAATATTTAGTAATAGTGCAACATTATCATCAAGACGTATGATAATAACCATTTCTTCTCTAATTATCTATTGATTGACTATTTTTTCGGTAAAAACGTACTATTTGTAAAACAACTGACTTCACTAAGTAAACAATCATTATTCACTAAGACTAAAGATTTTACACAATATCTAAAACAATATCGAAGTTGGTACTATAAAAACAGCCATCATTCAAATAGAGGACTAACTACAAAAAATGATGAACTGAGAGCATCTAATGATTCAGATGATGCAAAAACTTCTTCAAACTCGATGTTTCTCTTATTTCAACAATGACAATAGTCAATATGCTATAGTATTTTGATCGAGTCGCTATCGAATAATTTCAAAATGATGATTTTCTGGAATCATAACAGCTTGCATTTTCTTGCGATTAATATGATTTTTTGAAATTCCATCGAATTTAGTCCTCGAAAGATTTCGATCTCGTGGATGAGTACCAATGATTACGATCGCAAGAGGAATTGTCATAGTTTGTAACATTTTTAGATTGGAAAATTCATGTTTTATATATATTGCATGTATACCATTGACCAATTTTCGTCTCATCGACAGATAAATTCATATTGATAAAACAATGCATTGTTTTTATTCAGCATCTTACTCAAACATGTTTTAGTTCAACTGATAAATACTATTTGAGAATTATGATTTATTTCTAGAACTTTATTGGATGAATACTATAAGCCATTTTATTCATTTCCTCCTGTGGATTAACTCTGTTGAGTGACAGAAACGTTTTTATTTTTATTTTTTAAATGGCAAAAAAAAGCATCTGAGCGTTATGAATCATATAGCTACGAAGCAAAAAAGAAAAAGACACATCCATGTGACGATGATTGATAGAGATGAATGTGTTCGTTTTGAATATGTTTTATTGGGGGCTAATACACAGTGGTACGCCACACATGTTAGGACAGCATTTTTCATTGGACGAGCAATCATTGTCAACATCACAAAAATGTAAATCACAGACGCCCCAGTACTGATGATTTTGTTCAGAACTTGGTAATGGACATGCACCATTTTTTGCTACATTGTCTTTGGGAACGAGACAACGATATCCGCATGGTTTAAGTGGCGTATAACAACATTTCTTGCGGCCTTTACAGCAATCATTTTGAGGTGAACATTTATCAACACATGGTTCTTGTGGACGAACAAATCCATAGCCAGGACACACTAATTCTGTATCGGCAATGGCGATAATCAATAACACTACGAAAAAGTATGCAATAGTTGACATATTATTGTAAGACGAATAAAATGCGGAATAAAAATATTTTTAGGATCATTTTATATTGACGAACGGATGAAGAATAAAAAAAAAACAAGAAAATAAAACCGAGCGGAGCTGGCGAAACCCATCATTATCGATCGTCTTAATAGGATGGTGGGGGTGTATTGGATGAAAGCATGTTGCCATGTTATAATCATTAGATTCAAATAAGCCTATAAATAATGGACATTAAGAATAGAATTAATTCGACAATTAGACATGTACCGAGCTTTTTTTGCGTTAGCTTTGAGTACTTTACAACAACAGCTTGAACTGTGAAATAAAAGGCTAAATCATGCCACCTTCTATATAAAAAGATGCAGAAAATGCTATTCTATCAAATGAGACATACCCGAGTTCTGTGCAGAAAACTTTTTTATTATCATGAGAAGTTTACAAACCGAGTCTAATCGAGCCTGGACTTGACTTAGACATTTTTTTTACAATGCAGATAAACACTAGAATGATTGGAGCATAGAGATCAAGGATGTCTCATTTTGTAGAGCAACATTGTGTCTATATTTTGATAAGTTACATCAAATGACTTCGCCTTTCATTTCAGAACTGAAACTGTTAATATAAAAGTGTTTAAGAGTAACGAAAAAAGGTTCGATATATTGTTAGTCACAGTTAACAACATGCAAAATAAATAAATCATCATTTCTATCATATTAACCTATTGATATAATACACGTCATGACATGTGTACATGATGCAAGCACACAAAACATGGATTGTTATAGTAAACGAGAAAAAGATCCTAACGAGATAAGAAAAACTTCAAAATGATAAGTCTCCTTAAACCTTCTATTCAAAGTTATAGGTATTTTATTGTAATTTTAGCCTGTTGGTTAGTATATACTGACAAATTGAATGACGACATTTCAACCTGAGATTTTGCCGAAAGACAGATCTATTTTTTTTGGTAAGAATATCCTGCAGATATCAGCTCATAGAAATATTTAATTTCTGAAATATTCAAACTCGTTATGTTCATTTGTCTTCAGTTTTACTACGTATATATTTGATGAGGACCATCAAAGGTCGAAATATCATATATTTTTGAATTTTTGCATTTTCATTTTTTCTACTCTCCTACTAGCTAAAATAATATATTTACTCAATTAAATTCTATTTAATTTTATATTTAGCCACCATTCTCTAGAATTACTATTAATTGGAATAAAAGGACGGTGTGAGCCATTTGTCTTTTAATGTTATGACGAGAGTCGAATCATATTTTGATTAATTAATCATATCTTCAACTGAAATATGTACATAAAAGCAATCGAGTTTATAGCGCTACGAAAAACAGCCACTCTTCTTTAGCATGAGCACGAGAATAAGCAAGACGAACAGCATCAATTGCAAAACAAGTACACTATTTATCAGTAGAAGAAAACAAAAGATGTTTAATAACAGTGAACATTATCATTGAGACGATTGATAATTTCCATTTCTTGACAGGTTTTTTTTGTTGAACACTTTTTCGATAAACATGTACTATTTTTCAAACGGTTGACTTCATTAAGTGAACAATCATCATTCACTAAGACCGTACATATTTTGAACAATAGACAAAACAATACTGAAGTTGGTACTATAAAAGCAGAAATCATTCAAATAGAGAACTTACTAGGAAAACTAATGAACTGAGAGCATCTAATGATTTATATGATAAAAAGACTTCTTCGTAAACGAAATCTTTATCTTATTTCAACAACGACATTCTTCTATATCAGAGACCGAAATGAATCAAAAAACATCCGACTCGACTCGACTCGTTTTCGGTCGCTGGTACGAATATTCTTTTGCACAGATAATAACATCTATAATAATAGAACGGCAAAATGATTGAATGACTGCTGTGCAAATTTAGATAAAAATCTTTTTCTCATTATATTTTAAAAACAATTAGACAACACTATTATCAAAACATTTCTATGAAAATCATAAACAAAATTTTGTCCAAAAAATTGAATACCTGCATGCTAAATAATAATATTTCACAAATCTCAATTATTCTTAAAATATTGTTTATTAATGTAAATAGAAGAAAAATGTTTTTTTTTTATGTATCTTCATTGCATATTGTAAAAGAATATAGAAACTTGCCAGGTGTACGATCGAAATAAGGACTAAAATCAAGTCTAGTGACATTTTTTAATCGCATATCAATTAACTGTATTTTTCTTTTTCCAGTGGCAGCGCAGATGACATTAAGTGTAGATTGTCAAAATGTCTACATTACTATAAATAAGAAGTAAAGTTTTTCATTTAACATATCGGTTTCCTTCAATTTTAATTGAATTTTGTTTGAAACAACATGAATATGTATTGATAAAGAACTATTCTTTGTCACACAATTTGAATTTATCACCATCGTCATTATCTTTTTTCTTTTACTCAAATCTATAATAATCAATTGTTTCATACAAACGATGCTTCTTATTTTTAAATGAATTCATGCATAGATATACTATATATATACGAACTCGCTTCAGTACTAGAACCTATTGAATCTGAAATTTTTGGATCCGAATCCGATCCGTACTAATTTTATTCTCAATATAATTTTTTACCCGTCTTAATAAAAATTCCAAAGATATGAGATACTTTTTTCATTTATTTAAATTCAGCGACTAGCAGGTCGTTCACATTCTCAGGGCATCTTGAGAGTAGCGAATTTCAGGTCCGACCCGCACTTGACCTACAGAAAATTTTGAGATGTAGATCCACTCAGGTTCAAATCTAACCCAACGGGCTCTATTTAGCACTAGCATTGATAGTATTCCTTTTATTTACAAAAAAAATTAAGTTTCATAATCATAGAAAGTTTTTATTATATTGAAGTTTTTGTGTATCTTTTATCAATTAAATTATTATACTTCTCTCTCCACCCCACCCCTTTCACTGAATAAAAGCCCATGAGAGATGCATTTGTTCCGCAAGCTATGAGTTTCGAAGGACTATTGCTTATATTGAACTCAATTCTTATCGCTAATTAAAAGAAATTTGCACATTCTTCCGCTTTTTATTGATTGGTGTTCATTTTACAAAGTAAATCTTTATTTTCTCCGGAAGATTCTAATCTTCGGAGTGGACTTTGATGCAAAAAAGGATTTGGTGGAAAACGTCAAAAAGAAAAATATTGAAAGGAAAATGTCGAAGTGCAAAATAGTGAAAAAGTAATTTTTCTGACTGAGAAATAATACTGAGAAATTCTATTTCAGTATGTAGGAAGAAAGAACTAGGGTGTGGATGTAGGTGAGAGCAGGGGAGGAGGGATATTGTTGATGAAGAAAACATCCACAACAGCAACCATAGCGACACTGACACCCTCAATCAAGATCATTTACCTAAGCAAACGGTCATATACGATTACAATCAATGCAACATATTTTTCTTCACTGAAATCTCATCCGACAGAGGAACACTTAATAATATGCTGCATCATTCTATATTGGATCTAGCGTTTTCTGCAACACTCGGGTATGAGATTCACATTTCGATGAGTTTCTGAAAAACACTGATAATATTCGAGTAATGAAATTCAAGAACTTTTTCTTCCAATGAAACTCATGATCGAAAGACAATGAGATATAAGTAAGATAGACAATCTCACTCACCAACGGTTGAGATGGATATCCTGCCTCGATTATGAGTTCGAAGTTATTGAACGCTGTTAAATTTACCGCCATGATGTGGCGGAAAAACCTCAGCAAACCATGTTTCTTCTCTACCAAACTAATAACCCAAAGATTATGCTATATGCATGTGATCGATCATTTCATTAACAATGACATGATATCTATATCCTCCATCAATTATGAGTTTCAACTTTCGCAACATTTGTCAAATAACTACTACGATAATCTGCTAGAATTAATAGATCGAATCTTCTCACTATCAAATCCGCAACTGAGCGAGGTCGTTGTATAAATATGGTATATCATATTCTTCAGAATAGATTGATATGTACATATTCTCTTCGGCATGACGATGAATTTCCTAAACGTTGGTAAAATCACTAAGATGCAGATGCAGTTGCAGTTAAATCAACGAAAGAAATTTTTTCTTTGTCAAACTCATAGTTGAGAGAAAATGACAGATGAATACGTTACTGAGTCTCAATGAGAACTGATTTATATGTATATGCAATTAGATGCGTTCTGAGAGTTTTCTCGGAAACTCCATTAAATGCTAACGTATGAGATATAGGAGATATAGAGACTTAGGAGGTATAGGGATTGATTTTTTCGAGCAAGGGTCGGCAAGTGGCACCAGTATATTTTATGAATAGATGTTTAAATTCAAACACTATTGAATAATTAGCTGTACCAATTAATCAATATCTCCAATATCACCTATATCTCATACGCTAGCATTTAATGGAGTTTCCGAGAAAACTCTCAGAACACATCATATGGTATATGCAGTTTCTGATATCGAGTTGTAGTTTGGAAGTGTTGCCAAAATATTTTGAAAACTCGTAATAAGAACGGAAGATTTTTTTTTCTTCGGAGCTCTAAGTGGCGAGACAAGTATTTATGAATTTGATTAACTTTTCGAACATGCAATGGTTGATATGTGTATCTATCGTTGGGAATGAGAAGAATGTGGGTAGTATGTGAGATCTGGCTCAGATCTGTTGTTTTATTGGTTGACGAATCGTTATTAACACAGTTGTTCTTGGCTGAAGCGTATTCATTAGTTGAGTATGAGATCGTTCGATGAAGAATGCAGTCCTGGAACGCGTATAGATCGTGGAAGAAGTAATGAAAATGCTGAATGCTTTAGGGAGAACGATCCTAATAGTGAAATTTATCATGCTTTTTGATGGATTATCTCAAGATGATAAAACTCGCTCATATTCTGTAAGGATTCTAACATTTACATATGTCTGTGTGACTCCTAGGTCTTGTCGATTTTGGAGAAGTATACTACGCTAATTAAGGAAAATCTTT